TATATATATATATATATATATATATATATATATATAAAAAGCCCTTTTAAGGGATATTGCAAATTTATCATACATGGTTACACAATCTAACAATCAATAATAGTGTTAGTGAACATACAACAATAATAAAAAATCCAAACATATATTAAATATATTAGCTCGGATACATTGGGTCGCCATTCCATGAATACTAGCTCAGCGAAGTGTGGCAATGCAAAATTTTATCTCTAAATTTCTCAAAAATAATTTAATAATTTTTAAAATTACCTAAAATTCATCTAGTAGCGAACGATCACTGAAAAAGTACTTGAAAAATATAAAATAATAAAAGTGGCATATTTATATAATAATATTTTAATTCGCCAGCAGGTAACTTTTTAAATAATTAACCAAAAACATCTTCAATTGTTGAATTGAAAATATAGGTGTTTTTCAATCACAACAAAAATAGATAACGTCTGCAAAAAAAAGCACTAATAAAAATACTAATAAACGAGTATAAATTAGGAAAAGAGAGAAAAAAGCTTATATGTTAGGTGATAAGGATTCGATATGGTGGCATCTGGAGAACGGATAAAGATATAAAGACAGATTAGCGTTTTACTAACTGTATAATTCAGTGAGCCTTCATTGACGTATACTACTGTATTTATAAATATAAACTAAGATTAACCAATATTATTATACTTAAAAAATACCTATCATATTTAATAAAAATAAAAGTTTAAATGTACTAACTCATTTTAACAACAAAAACGAGTGAATACTTATTGCACCTACCCGGCCTGTTTCTATTCATATACTTATTGCACCTACCCGGCCTGTTTCTATTCATATACTTATTGCACCTACCCGGCCTGTTTCTATTTGTATACTTATTGCAACTACCCCGGCCTGTTTCTATTTATATACTTATTGCACCTACCCGGCCTGTTTCTATTTGTATACTTATTGCAACTACCCCGGCCTGTTTCTATTTGTATACTTATTGCAACTACCCCGGCCTGTTTCTATTTATATACTTATTGCACCTGCCCGACCTGTTTCTATTTATATACTTATTGCACCTACCCGGCCTGTTTCTATTTTGTTTCTATTTATATACTTATTGTACCTACCGGGCCTGTTTCTATTTATATACTTATTGCACCTACCCGGCCTATTTCTATTCATATACTTATTGCACCTACCCGGCCTGTTTCTATTTGTATACTTATTGCAACTACCCCGGCCTGTTTCTATTTATATACTTATTGCACCTACCCGGCCTGTTTCTATTTGTATACTTATTGCAACTACCCCGGCCTGTTTCTATTTGTATACTTATTGCAACTACCCCGGCCTGTTTCTATTTATATACTTATTGCACCTGCCCGACCTGTTTCTATTTATATACTTATTGCACCTACCCGGCCTGTTTCTATTTTGTTTCTATTTATATACTTATTGTACTTACCGGGCCTGTTTCTATTTATATACTTATTGCACCTACCCGGCCTGTTTCTATTTTGTTTCTATTTATATACTTATTGTACCTACCCGGCCTATTTCTATTTATATACTTATTGCACCTGCCCGACCTGTTTCTATTTATATACTTATTGCACCTGCCCGACTTGTTTCTATTTATATACCTATTATACCTGCCCGACCTGTTTCTATTTATGTACTTATTGCACCAGCCCGACCTGTTTCTATTTATATACTTATTGCACCTGCCCGGCCTGTTTCTATTTGTATACTTATTGCACCTACCCGGCCTGTTTCTATTTGTATACTTATTGCACCTGCCCGACCTGTTTCTATTTATATACTTATTGTACCTGCCCGACCTGTTTCTATTTATATACCTATTGCACTTGCCCGACCTGTTTCTATTTATATACCTATTGCACCTGCCCGACCTGTTTCTATTTATGTAATTATTGCACCTACCCGACCTGTTTCTACTTATATACTTATTGCACTTACTCATACTGTTTCTATTTATATACTTATTGTACCTGCCCGACCTGTTTCTATTTATATACCTATTGCACCTGCCCGACCTGTTTCTATTTATGTAATTATTGCACCTACCCGGCCTGTTTCTATTTTGTTTCTATTTATATACTTATTGTACCTACCCGGCCTATTTCTATTTATATACTTATTGCACCTGCCCGACCTGTTTCTATTTATATACTTATTGCACCTGCCCGATTTGTTTCTATTTATATACCTATTGCACCTGCCCGACCTGTTTCTATTTATGTACTTATTGCACCAGCCCGACCTGTTTCTATTTATATACTTATTGCACCTACCCGGCCTGTTTCTATTTTGTTTCTATTTATATACTTATTGTACCTACCCGGCCTATTTCTATTTATATACTTATTGCACCTGCCCGACCTGTTTCTATTTATATACTTATTGTACCTGCCCGACCTGTTTCTATTTATATACCTATTGCACTTGCCCGAACTGTTTCTATTTATATACCTATTGCACCTGCCCGACCTGTTTCTATTTATGTAATTATTGCACCTACCCGACCTGTTTCTACTTATATACTTATTGCACTTACTCATACTGTTTCTATTTATATACTTATTGTACCTGCCCGACCTGTTTCTATTTATATACCTATTGCACTTGCCCGACCTGTTTCTATTTATATACCTATTGCACCTGCCCCAACCTGTTTCTATTTATGTAATTATTGCACCTACCCGGCCTGTTTCTACTTATATACTTATTGCACTTACTCATACTGTTTCTATTTATATACTTATTGTACCTGCCCGATCTGTTTCTATTTATATACCTATTGCACCTGCCCGACCTGTTTCTATTTATATACCTATTGCACCTCCCAGACCTGTTTCTATTTATATACTAATTAGAGATATCTATAATATTGGACAAAAATAAAAGTTCAAGTGTACTTACTCACTTTAATAACAAGAATACTTACAAGAGTACTTATTCCACCTGCCCGACCTGTTTTTATTTATATTTTTATGTCCTTAATATTAAATACATTAATCTAGTTTTATAAACTGCACACACGTGTGATAATCTTATTTAATTGCAAGCCATACAGAAGAGACTTAAGAAGAAAATGGCTAGGATACCTTAGGTTATGAAGAATCGACAACATCCAGATTCGAGCCAAATCAGTGAAGTTCTTTTCCTAAATTGGCTCGACTGGACCAATAGTAGTACTAGTTATGATTGGTTACACAATCTTAATATAAATCAAAAAACTTTGCAAACAGGGGCGAAATGAGGGATGAAAGTCGTATTTTTTAATTACTAGTTACAATAAGGTGTCATATGAAAGGTCTTTAGTTGTACAATCCCTAATTAATTAATAAATTATCTTTTATCTTTTTATCTACGCAACGTTTTCTATATTGAAGCCATTTTTTTTGCGTTCCTTGTTATTTTGGAGTCATGGCAATGATACATTCTATTTTATTTAGCTCTTTTATTTTTTAATATCTCAACCTTTCTTTTACTTTCTTTTCTGTTCTTCTTTTTTCTTTTAATCTTACTTGAACAAATTTGTCTTCACGTGCTTTCATGATTTTTTATTTTGGTTATAAATTTAATACGCGTTGCATATTTTTTCTTTAATTGCATAACTTAATTATATCAATACAAAGCTATAGGTAGTAATTTTTTTAGTTATTTTAGTTTTTTAACATTACATTTAAATCTGGATAAATATTTACATATTTTAAAATATATTTTATTAATTGAATCATCTGCATCAGTAGCGCGTCATTACCTTCATTTTAGAAACTGACAGCAAACGAAGATAATGATATTAGGGTAATGACATTTTAGAATATTTTAATAAATTTTAACATAATCAGGAATGTGGTGGATATGAAACTATTGAAGTACAAAAGTAAACCCTAAAAAAGTTCATTCGCATAGCAGAACCATTAAAAAAAGTATTACTTACCCAGATATTGTGATTACGGCAAAGACCGATTTCTCGTGACAAACTCCCGTTTCAAGAATAATATTGTAATTTTCTTTTTAAGTACATGACCATTGTTATTTATACGACTGAATGATGCCGAACTGTGGGTAGAAATCTAGTTGGATCGGGTTTTCGTACACCCATTTAGTTTTGGTTGTTTCTAGTTTTGTCTAAGGTAATGACATTTTTTTCCGCGAACATTTATATTTTTAATAAAATAACTTAGTCCTTGCTAATCGTGAAAATGTTTGTAATTACTTCTTATAATATGTGTGGTAATTTACAGGCGTAACGAGTTGAAAATATAAGCTTACAGGAGGAAAAGGGAATGTTAACAATGGGGTTTGACAGCCCCATTGCTAGTAATATGCCCTATTAGGTCGACCTCCATGTGGTTCCACCTGGAAACCATCGTGAACAATTCTTGTTGAATTCGTCACGATGGGCTAACTGACCTGCTTCATCCTCACCTATCATTATCATCCTTCACTGGTGCCCCGCCGGTATATACCGATAGCGCGGGTGAGGTTACCATTCCATTATCATCCATTAAAAGAAATAAAGGCTTACATTTAAGATTCAATATAAATTTCTTTAGAAATAGTGTTTGCGCCACTGACTGAACATAAGCCTCCCCTTGGAGGGTTTTGTCTATAGTTGACACGCTTGGCAGGTGGATAGGAGTTTTAAGAGGGACGTTGTTGTCCATCCCTCACCCTCCCTTAGTCGCCCTATACGACACCCACGGGAAGATAAGGGGTGGTCTATTCTATGCTATAATCACACGGTTGAAAATTATAAAAAAATTATGTAGTGAAAACATAAATTTAGTTCTACGCATCTTATTATGGCCCTATGGCCAGTATACCACAATCTTACAAACGGAAAATAGTTGGCTGAAAGACTCTAATATCATAACTAGGTCATGTTCCGTGTGAGGCGATATGTAATTTTTATTTAATTTATCTCTGTCAGATATTTTAATTCTGTAGTATTTGATAAAATAAAAAAGAAATAAGTAGTTAAAACAATAAAATATTTATTCCTAATATAATAATATAAATAAAAATACATGCTTTTTGCAATAGAAATATAATTATAACAATTAAAAACAATTTATATTCGCAAGATTACAACAATTTAAATACAAATAAAATACATTATAAAATATATTTTTTTTAACAATAAATATGTAATTGTATGACATATGACGTATGCAATTGTAATAAGATTTAAAATGTAATAATACAATAAATAAGTAAAGCATGATAATAGTATATAAATCTAATTCTTATAAATAAATGTGAACGCTTTTCTCTTTGGAAATGATGTTTTACGTGCTTATCTGTAACTATACTTATATTTTATTATACTGTAACAATTAATCTATACTGTGTGACATGCAAATAAATAGAAATAAATGTTATATTATAAGAAAATCAATAATTATATAATAAAGTTACAGCTATATGATAATATGTATCGCCCTTCCCTACTATGGCTCGTATCAGAATCAGGCGGTTGGATGAATGCCGAATTGCCGAAAACAGCTGTGCCTCAGCCAGTGTTGCCAGACGCCCGCTCGGTAGAAAAATATTTTTACCCAATCTATTAATATATGTTGTACAAAAAATAAAATAAATGCTCACGACTGTAGTATTACAGCAATATAACAGGGTATTAACTGTTAGGAGGGGGGGGGGGGGGCGATTAATCTCCTGATTGTTACTAACGCTCATGATTGTGACCCGACAACGCGTGCACTAAACACTCGGCATGTCCATATTTCACGGGGCATATTTGGATTCAACATGGCCGGGGCGAGCTTCCTGCCTTCTCTCGAGTAATTCAGGTAATAAATACCTATGTTTTTCGTCATCGGAAAATTAGACAAAAATGTAAATTGATACACAAAGTATCTGGTGTCGACTAGATTTGGAGATAGTTAATAGGAAACTAAATAACTTTATTTGTTTAATTCTTTATTGCATCAAAAAGCATAAAAATAAACAATGAAATATAAACAATTCAAGTGAAATACAGTACAGATTAAAATGTACACAAAGTTTCCTCAAAGAGCAAGCTTGAAATGTGAAAATAATTATTGAACATTTTATACAAATCGCTCAGTCATATATTTATTTATTTTACAATTTATTGCACCAAGTAAAAAAATACAGAGGGAGACTTTGTACAAAAGTCGATTACTTGGGTGCCTCTGTTCCATTCGTGTTTCTACCGTGAAGCAGTTGTGTTTGCATGGCTGTGTTTCGGTTTGAAGGGTGGGATATGGCGTGAATTTACAGGGTACAGAGGAATAACACCTGAGCCCTCAGGAATGGCAACACATGGGGGGTATCATGGACGAAACAGTATACTCTGTTATGTCCATGGTACTGCTCGTGTCTATAGGCGACGGTTACCACTTTCCATCAGGTGGACCGTCAGCTTATTTGCCATTCTAAGTTGTATAAAAATAAATGATAATAAAAAAATAAAAAATAAATACAGTAAATATTAATGAGAAGTGATACAAAAGGCGGACTTATTGCTAAGCAATCTCTACCAGACAACCTTTGGGTAGAGGACATTGAAAAAAAGACAAAGGGCAGGCGGCGCACTGTTATATAGATACTAATGTATACAAACATATGTATAAACAAGAATATACATAAACAAACTCATATTTAAGAGCACACACACAACAGGAGAGAATGACGAGGGAAAATGAAGGAAAATAATACTAAAAGAAGAGGTAATAGGATTTAAAAGAGGTTTTGAAGCTAGTTGGTGTTATAATTATATAATAGATTTAGTATAAAAAATTCAAAATTATTTCCATACTTCGACTATGCTCTTTGGGAAAGTTGATCAGTTTCATGAATACTATCACTGGATGTTCCGTTACACCAGTAAAGCATATCTCACAACTATCCTTAACATACTTCTAACATTGGATGGTATTTTTTCGACATATTTCATCACGTCGAAAAGTAAATATACGCATATAAATTAATTAAAATCTGTAAGGGATTGTACAACTAAAGACCTTTCATATGGCACCTTATTGTAACTAGTAATTCGAAAATACGGTTTTCATCCCTCATTTCGCCCCTGTTTGCAAAGTTTTTTTATTTATTGTGATATATGAGATTGTGTAACCAATCGTAACTAGTACTACTATTGGTCCAGTCGAGCCAATGTAGGAAAAGAACTTCACCGACTTGGCTCGAGCCTGGATGGGCTACTCATAACCTAGAGTATCCTAGCTTGAGGACTAGGTCATTAGTGTGTTTATTAGCTCATTTTTAATACCGCATTTTAAGTCGATAAGAGGCAACTGGCAACCCTGGCCTTAACTGCGTGTCGCGTCATTTATGTGTGGGTTTAAAAAGTCTCTACGTATGACTTGCGCCTTAGAAATAAATGCCTTAATTAAATATTAAATCTAATTGGTAGAATAGCCACCGGTTGCGATTTGTTTGGTTTGTCTATGTATATACTCCAAGTTTTTTGCTCTAGGTCGAATATACCTGTAAAATAATATAATAGCTATCATTTCGCCTAATAGACTGCGCCATCGATTATTTTAATACAATTTTATGAGAAAAATAAAGCAAGTTTTGTTTAAAATTATATGTATATATATATAGGTGGTCCCTATGTATTGTTATTTAAATTATCATCGTGGCACTTCGTCATTCGATTATATATACATAAAACAATGAAATATTTTTTTTCTTTTAATCTTTGGATACTATTTAGAGGTCGCTAGCAGTGGTCAAACTTTAAAAACAACTTTGTATCGCTGCTTAAATAAAAGAGATAATTAATTAAAGTGTTTATTAAGCAACCATAACAGCTGTAGTGGATCAATCGCTCGCTCTGCCTGGACTAGAAACCTGCTATACGTGTACAATTATTTGAAGGGTTTACGAACAATTGCAATACAAATAACCAAAGTGACTGCAAAATATTAACTGGTGGTGATAAGGCAAATATCCTTGCAGAAGCAGCCGCAAATAGGATTTCTTTCGCGGAAAAGCATTTACAATTACATTTAAGAAAAAAAAAAATTACGTCCAAAATATGCACAAAAAAAATATAAACAAATTCGCGAACAGCATATTCTTACGATTCTACTAGATCTTCGGTATCTTACTACACTTTTATATAAAGACGTGGAGACTTGGTACAAAGATGTCGAGCTGCCAAAAATTTGGTTTATATGTCAGCGGAATGTAGTGTTGCTTTAGTACAGGGGTCTCAAAACTACGGGCCGCGGGCCTAATTCGGTCTGCGACAATTATTGTTGTAGTTAATGCAACAATTAATGTAAAGTTTGGAGACTCCTGCTTTAGTGGATAAACTGATTACAACTAATGAAGAAAGAAAGACATATTAGCTTCTGTTGGTGAAAAAGTATAGGAGAAAGTACGATAATATTAAAAAAAAAAAAATACACTTGTTTCTTAAAAATATAAAATATTAATAATTTTGTATTTCTTATCTTCTGACTTATGAATACAATAATTCAATAAATGTAGACATTTCGAGTTTTTATTTAAAATTCAACCTTTAGTAGCGACCCTTGAATTGTTATTCAAAAATAAAAAAAAAAAAAAACTGAAATACTTTCTTTGGTATAAAATCAAACTAAGCACCACATATAAATAAATTTTCTTAGAAATAAGGACCACCCTAACATATATATTTAAAAAGTTATAATTATTCTTTTTTATTATAAACGGTTTAGCAAAAGAAAGAAGAGAATAGAAGAAATGTATCGTATGAGGATCAATACATACCAGCTGCTATAGTTTGGATTATAGACTCAGGTTTTTCCTGAAACACTTGGAAACTTTTGCCGGTCGTGTCAGAGAGTATATCGGTTACATCGCGTCGGCTTTGCGGAGGTTGGTGTTTGTGGATTGCCTCTAGGCGGGACTCGCTGCTATCTATGATGGGTCCAATTACCTCTGTTACATTTAGACGTTGATAACTGCGGATAGATGGGTCACCGTCAACTTACTGGTTAAGTCATCTCATTTTTTTAAATATTTTTTCTACATAGTTCCACACTCGTAATTCGCTAATTGCTGTTTCAGTTAGCAGTAAAATTATATGGCAAAGAATTTACACTATTTCTCAGAAATAGTAACTCATAGAGGTACTATTACCGTTGGCCTCAGAGTATATTCTGTGTACTGCAAGATGCTGTTTTGCTTGAATCGAATCGAAACTTGCATCTTGGACCAAATCATTAACAGAAATATTTATGCTGCGAAACAGCAATATAGGTACGAACATTACTTGTTCTGAATTGTGAATACCATTTCACTACCTTGCAATGTGTGTCACTTACTCTGAATACCATAACAAAAACGGCACGATCCTGGATCGTCATTACTACATAAACAGATTACTAAAATGTATTTTTATTTATTTATATAAGTTTTTTATATTTATATATAAGATGATATATTTATTCGACTTATGAAAGGTAAATGAATAACATGAGTACATATGAAAAATTAATAAAGCTAATGGAATAAAATAATGGAATCTTATTTACATGACAGTGCATTAGTTGAAATAAATGGCGTAGTCTAAAGGAGCTCAAGTCAAAATGGGTGTTCCCCAGGGATCTATTTTAGGGCTCTTTTTCTAATTTACATAAATGACCTCCCTTCTTATATAGTAGGGAAGATATAGTTCTATTTGTCGATGATACTTTAATAATGCTCAAAGTTAGATGTCGCATTAAAAATTTTAAAGTAGTGGAGTTGTTTCCACTGTCCTAAAACGTTTTACTACTAATACTTTGTTGTTAAATGTTTCCAAAACTAAGTGTATTCAATTGACACTTCTTAATCTAAGGTAGGTAGATTTATCATCATCATTATCTCAGCCCTATACCTCAACATAAGCCTCCCCATAGACTGCCATAAGGAAGGGTTCAGAATCAATGGCATCCACTGACTTTTTGCAATGCATTTGAAGTCGTCACTACATTGCATTTGTCCGAACTGGGTCGCTACTCAAGAACCTTTCTTCCCCATCGATTGTCGGTTCTTGGAGCTATGTTTGCCAGCTCATTGTCACTTCAGCTTGCTTATCCTTCGGGCTATGTCGGTTACTTTAGTTCTTCTGCGAATATTCTCATTTTGGATTCTATCACGCAAAGAGGCTCCAAGCATAACCCTCTTTATAGCTCGCTGAGTAATTTGAAGCTTTTGCATATGGGCACCCATGTAGAAGCATGTTTCGGTTCCATAAGTCATTACTGGCAACCCGCACTGCTTAAAGACTTTTGTCTTTAAACTTTAAGGTATTTTGGCTGAGAAAATGTGGCGCAATTTTCCGAATGCTGCCCAGCCGAGTTTGATTCGTCGATTGACCTCTCGATCGAAGTTGGACTAACCTAGTCGGACTAGTTATTCCAGGTATTATACTCGTCGTCAACTTCGAACATAGTATTCTTGATCATAACCGGTATAGGTGTGACATGGACGTTAGACATGATTTTAGTATTGTTCGTGTTCATGTTAAGGCCTTCTATTGAACACTATTGAGGTCCTTGAGCGTAGTATTCTAGTTCTCTAGAGATTTCGGCATGACTACTATATTATCGGCAAATCGAAGGCGAGTGATGTATTCGCCATTGCATTATTTCCATATGCATTATTTTTTCCAGTCCAAAAGTTTAAAAACATCTTTCAATGCAGCTGTGAAGCGTTTCGGGGATTAGACGTCACCCTGTCTTACACCTTTCTGCACTGGGATGCGTTTTGTACTCTGGTTCTGTATTCGGATAGATATCGTTGCCTTACTATACCCACACTTCAGCATCTTCGATATATTTATAGTTAATCTGGTACCGCTGGAGGGACTTTAGTACCGTCCATGTCTCGACCAAATAATTTTTTTGTCCCATTTAATTTTGGACAATAAACACTTAATTTTTTTTGCGACATCGTATTTTTAAGTATCACAATAGAGTGTAAATAATAATAGGGTGCATGTATTTTCAAATTAGCTAGAATGTAGCTCAGTAGCATATGCAGTTAAAAGAATTAGGTAATTAACGTATGTAGAAATTGCTCTAATTGTTTACTTTAGCTATTTTAGCATTATGCCATATGGAATACTGTTGTGGGATAAAGCAGCGGATATAAATACAATATTTATTTTACAAAAGAGAGCTATTCGTTCTATTTATGGCATGGGTTCGAGGAGTCAGTACGAGAACGTACAAAGAATCATATATCGTCACAGCTGCCTCCCAATACATTTACAAGAATATTGAGAGAGTAAGAATTGTACTAATAAAAGCTTATGGAATAATCAAAAAATAATATTACTCAAATACCATTTAATTAAATTGAGTAATCCTTTCCGTGGGAAAGGTGTAAAATTTTATAACAAACTGTTAGAGTTTGTTTTGAATTTGCTTGACAAAAGGTTCAAATTTTGCATAAAACAAATTGTTTACAAGAAGGTATATTACAGATTAAATGAGTTTAGAGTAATAGTATATAAAAAAACCTAATTATTTCATAATATTTTCTTTAACTTACTGACAAGATTGTTTTTGTTATTACCATACCACCAGAATTGTTAAATGAAGAATGCGTAGCGGTTTTATTAATAATAAACGTATGCATTTTCCTGTGTAATGTATGAATACTGCAACCGTTATGAAGTATGCACAAGTAGCATGAAATAATTTTAATTCGGCTATGGCTGGCTCATACGTCATACTCGTGAATGGCGGTAATGAAAAACAATGGTTGTTCAAAAATATTTAAAACTAAGTTTACTTGAATAAAAATATTTCTCTCTTTTATTCTTCTTTCATAAATACAGACAAAATTATACTTTTATTCCAGTAAATACATAAAGCAAATGATGAAAAATATTATCAATACCTTAAACCGAGAAATTAAGCCTAATGGAAAATAAGTATGTAAAGAATTAGGTTTGGCGAGAGTTGAAATAATGAGAACGTGGCGTTTGTTTAAAAGCGAACTTAATTCTAGCAATTTTAATGTCAATGGGCAGGGCGTTCCAGAGCCTAATAGGCGTAACGGTGAAGGAATCAGTGATGAAGACAGTACAATGTGCTGGAAAACTAAGCATGAGTATCCTAGTAGTTCGATAGCAACGAATGTTACTTCTTCATGGAAATGAAATTTTAAATGAATCATAAAACTAGTATTATTAAAGTTAATACTTACATATTACAGTGCACCAGTGTTTCTTTATCGTACTTGTGTATGTTCAATAAGGACCTGTCGCCCTTGAGGTCGGGTGCCACTTCAATGTTGTACAACTGGCGGCCACCCTGAGGGTCTGTCCACAGCATATTGACCGAGAATCCGTTGCCGATGCCCAGGCCCTCGTCACGGAGAATATCTTCAGCTTCACTGAACGACTTGGCAGCTAGCAGAGCGCGAGTGATGAATGTCCTCGCTGTTGACAAAGATGTGTGTTAAAATTCTTTTCATGGCAAACTAACTGACGTGTCTATAGACACGAACAGTAGCGTGGATATACGAGAATATATTGTATCACCCATGATATCTTCATGCGTTGCCATTGCTAAGGTCTAAGGTGTTATTCCTCTGGACCCTGTAAATTCACTGCCATATCCCACCCTTCAAACTGAAACACCGCTATGCAAACACAAATGTTTCACGGCAGAAACACGAATGGGACAGAGATACTCAAGCAAACGACTTTCGTGCAAAGTCTTTCGCTAATAGATTTGTCTGGGGGACAGTTTGGAATTTTGAACATATTTTAGAGACCTTTAGGAAATACATAGTTTGTACATCAACATGGCTATTAACCAGGTTAGATAAAGAAATCTGCGACTATAAAAACGTTACCATGCTACTGAAGCCGCTTGTTAGCTTGCATGAGTACTGTGTTTCAGTATGAGAGAGACAATATGTATACAACCTCAACAGGTTTTTAAAGAATGCGTGAAAGTAGTACACTGCATCTAGTGGGCAAATCTAGCGCCTAAATGGTAATTTTCTTTTAAGTAATTTCCATCTTGAAGTACCTTAAGATTCTTCAAGGCCTTTGTCACCAAGCTTGGTAATACGAGGGCGATGCCTATGACCTTGCAAACCGTGGACTGTAGTTGTTGTTTACCATCAATTAGACGGTATATATCAGTACCTATTTACATGAACCACTAGATTTGGTTTACTAAAAAATATATCTAAAATACTAACGTGTATTTCCAGGTTTGAGCACCAGGGGGCTGAGAGTGTTGATGGAGAACACGAGTCCGTGCTGGTTGTAGCCCATCGTGTACCCAGGCATGTGACCGGCGTAGCACAGCGACATGAACTGCTCCTCGACAGCCTGGAAGACGTTTGATTATTTTTTTATTGATTGTATTATGACAGTATCGAAGTTCTAATATCAAGAATTTATTTGTTTTCGACATACATGGTCACTTAGGCACATTTTTTTAAATTCTACCATCCAGTTGACTATTAAATATGTTACTGAGAAGTGAAATGGCAAGAAATTTGACTTTTTATGTTTATTTGTTGCCATTATAATACTAAAGATCGGGACTAGCAGGTATCTTTTCTTTGATGGGTGAAAATGGTATGGTAACCCCTCCTGCGCTAACGGGATACGCTGGCGGAGCACCAGTGAAGGGTGATAGATGAGAATGAAAACAGGCCAGTTAGCCCATCATGATGAATTCATCAGGAATTAATCATGATAGTTTACAGGGAGAACCGCGAGGAGGTCGACCTGGTTGGGTATATTGCTAGCAATGGGATTCTCAGTATCCATTACTAATAATCCCTTTCCCCCCACTAGCAGGTATCTAGGTACACTTCTGGCGGGTTTTTATGAAGAACATTATGGTAAATCTTGATGAATTCATCACGATGGGCCAACTGATTTCATCTTTTCCTATCATCGCTCATTGGTATCCGCTAGTATGTACAAATACCGCAGGATGGATTACTAAATCATCCATTTAAAAGAATACTAAACATCCATTAACTTAGTAGAACGTTGGGTACAGGCTACAGATCTCCTTTGAAATAGAGGACAAGCCGAGCATAGCCTACCATCCTTTCTTCAAAGCGACTCACAGCATTTCTCTATAACTTCTTTATGGGTAAAGCGAGAAGTTGGAATTTTTAGTGACCAAGGCGACATACTGTATACATAGCTTTATTTCCAATTTATCAAATAATTATATATGTTATATATGCAATTTGCTATAACACTTACCCCCTCCGCCCTGTCATCCGGTGTGGGTGTAATGTGTGCAGACATGATGTAGAAGTGGTTCAGGGTTTCGCTGAATGCGTCTTCGGTATGACCCAGGATTCCCTGCGAAGTACAAGTGAAATATCGTAGTGAGTGATACAAAATATATAATGAGATAGTACGTTTACCTATATTGAAATACTTATATGTTTTTTTAATACAACTTAGAATGGCAAACAAGCTGACGGCCCACCTAATGGAAAGAGGTAACCGTCGCCTATAGACATGAGCAGTAGCATGGACATAACAGAGTATACTGTTTCGCTCTTCGATACCCCCCATGCGTTGCCATTCCTGAGGATGATTCCTGAGATTCAGGTGTTATTCCTCTGTGCCCTGTAAATTTACGCCATATTCTACCCTTCAAACCGAAACACAGCCAAGCAAATATAACTGCTTCACGGTTGAAACACGAATGGGACAGAGGTACCCAAGCAAACGACTTTTGTACAAAATCTCTCCCTGGCAACTACTGGCAAAACCCTCCAATGGGGAGGCTTATGTCCAGCAATGGACAGTTAAATGCTGATATATATATTTACTGTCTATCTATCTATTTATTGTACGGATAATCTGGTAGTATTGTTTTATTGTTACCCTATTCCCTTTGGCCGCAACAGAATATCAGTGCTTTGCTCTTTTGAGGGCGAAGCAATAAACTGAGTTGTGGCCATTTTGTATCGTTATTGTACACGCACAAAAGAAAAAAATGTACTTGGCTTTATGTATTTGTTTTTTAATCATTTATGCTATCTCGCTCTTTATGTATATCTATATATGTTGTAATTTGTGTGCTGTAAGTAATGCAAATAAATTATCTATCTATGTATCTTATATATGTAATAACGTACAGCGTCTGGATTGTTGACGCCGATGGAGCTGCAGCCGCCCGTGTCGTTCCTCGGCACGTGGTTGTCGTTGATGGTGCCCATGATGTCGTCCATTTGCAATAGGAACAACTGTAATACAAACAGGTAATAAATAATTAATGACTAGCTTCGCCCCGCGGTGCTAGCCGCCTGTATTAGGGTAAGAGTAGTATATTAACATCTACCAGAGGGAGACTTTGAACAAAAGTCGCTTGCTTGGGTACCTTTGTCCCATTTGTGTTTCAATCGTAAAGCAGTTGTGTTTGCATGGCTGTGTTTCGGTTTGAAGGGTGGGATATGGCGTGAATTTACAGTGTACAGAAGAATAACACTTGAGTCCTCAGGAATGGCAACGCATGGTGGGTATCATGGGCCAAACAGTATACTCTGTTATGTCCATGGTACTGCTCATGTTTATAGGCGACGGTTACCACTTTCCATCAGGTGGACCGTCAGCTTGTTTGCCATTCTAAATTGTATAAAAAAAATTATATCATTAAACTATTACCTGATAAAATGGCACCTTCGCGCCGTCAGCAACACCCTGCATCTCTTTTAGGTAAAAGGGATATCTGTTCTTCATGTTTGCAAGGGTTCTGTCGTATGCATCTCTGCCGGCGTCAGTTTTATACTCCTTCTCGAAATCTCGAAGGTTTTCGTACGTCGCTATGAAGTTCTTGATCATGGAAGCAAAAATTCTTCCCTGTGGATTGAAAGTGGATTTTAGTTTTTTTTTTATATTCGATTTAAGAAAAGTACACAATATATATTTTAATACTGGGAGTCGCTAGTAATACTATCCTTAACCTATAGTATATTAAGAAATATACATACATTCAGGTGTCAATCATTCTGAATTGAAATTTGTGTTTATCTGAGTATAGGACAAACATAGGTTTGTTGGGGGGGGGGGGGGGTTCACTCTGGAAACCATCGTGATTAATTCTAATGGAATTCGTCACGATGGGTTAACTGACCTGCTTTCATCGTCACTTATCATCTCTCACTGGTGCCCCGTCAGTGTATACCGAGAGCGCGGGTGGAGTTACCATTTCTATATTACCCATTTAAAAAAAAAACATAGGTTTGTGTCAGTATGTCTTAAAATTAAACTGTATAAAGTTATTTTAAAAACGAAATTTTAATTAGTTTCATACAGTTCAGGTTTTTGTAAATTATCTTTCTTTACAGGGGTATACCTGTACCTATCTTTGACCTATGAGCCATCTGTTCTCTCTAGTACAGATGGTTCAAAGGTCACTTTTCTTACATATGTGTACTGATTATTCCCTTACTTTAGATTATATAGATAGAGTGTCTCCAAAAACAGGTGAGAGAGTTATGCACATTTATTACTTAGTATATAGTTATAGTTATATACGAAATTCTTAACAAAATAATAGTAACAATGCACAATAATTCATAATAATACTTATTTTTACTTATTACTTTGATTTATACCCAAGTAAAGGTTTAAAATGATATTTTCATTTATGAATCAATTAATGTGGTCGTAAATTTTTTTTAATATACATATGTTAATTTGTAACCTATATATATATATATTTATATTATATCAAAAAATGGTTCCAAATACAAATTAAAAAAATGGAATTGTCTGGGATAATTTTAAATTTGGAACACAGAAAAAAGCCTATTTTATTTTGATTTAAAAGAAATAAGTGTTGGAATGTAGTCAGCCAATTGTCAAGTTATCTAAGTAAACTCTGACCCATTTTTGACATTCGATGTTCCATCTATATAAAAAAGTTATTGTAATATTCACAAATAACAGAATTCTAGTACATACCCTGAGAGCAAGTATATAGGCCACTGAAATAAATAGTCCACTGAATTAAAATAGATGCAGTTCACGAAATGTATTAATGCATAGATAAAACATTTTTTTTTATACCAATGAGGTGGCGGTCAAGCATACGGCCCAACCGATGGTAAGCGGTTATCTCAATCTGTGAACGTTTGCAATCTTGCCTCTATACCCTCCTTTTGAAGAATCCCATACTGTAGTCTCTTGGAGAGACCTCAACAGGGAACGCTTTATTTAATTTCTCAAATTTAAATTTATAGCTCTGATCCACACCCATGCGGGTTATGCAGAAGTTTACAGTTCTTAGTATAACTGAATTAGTTAAATTTGCTTGACATTTGTACCTACACATACACTACTAATTAATACCTCATTAAGTTTTATGTTTATTAAGTAAGAGAACATGCCACTCAACTAGTGAATAGGCCATAGAAAACCATATAAGATGGTTATCGTCTACCTCAGTTATCTATCATATTTATTAGCTATAATATATTATATTTCAAACCACATACATTTAATTGTCTTATAAGTAGCTATATTGGTTATTAGTGTTATATATTTATTTATTTATTCATTAGTACAAAAATGTGTACATGGTGGACTTAATGCTAAAAGCATTCTCTCCCAGTCAACCATAGGGAAGTGTCAGAATACACGAATGCGGTACTAGTAATTATTGATATACATACATACTAAAATTACATATATAAACGAATAAATATATATGAATAACAACCGTCTTTCAAAAAAAGCATTCACGCTCACTTTTTATCTTTATCCGAGCAGTAAGTACTTTATATTATTCCCAATTTCTTGTATAATATAGTATATATCATATATGTGTAAGTATATTTGTTATTCATATATATTTATTCGTTTATATATGTAATTTTAGTATGTATGTATATCAATAATTACTAGTACCGCATCCGAGTATTCTGACACTTCCCTATGGTTGATTGGGAGAGAATGCTTTTAGCATTAAGTCCGCCATGTACACATATTTGTACTAATGAATTAATAAATAAAATAAATATACTTACACATATATGACATATACTATATTATACACGAAATTGGGAATAATATAAAGCACACATACAGTTAGTTACATGATTATAGTGATCAAATGTAGGTCCGTCTACAACGATCTAACTTCTAGATACTTGCATCTAGCGGAGATAATTATAACAATGATATAGTATTCTTATGACCTATAGTTACATAGTATGTATTGTGTATTGTGGTCAATTATTCAAATATGACACGAAACATACAATGGTCATAAACTAGGTGATTAATTTTTATGTAATTTTGTACCTATGTTTTAAAAAAAAACAGATAGTTTTTTTGAAGGAATATTGAAATAAAAACCATGTAAATGATGGTAAAAGGATGGCGTTTATTGTAGAAGTGTACAGAAGAAACATTAGAATCGTAACAAAATAATAAAATGTATAATATTTGAGTAATTCGATTTTTAGTTTACTTTTTTGTTTTTCTAAAGAGGTTGAACTGTGAAAGATCACAAACAATATCTTTTAATTAAATGATTAAATTAATTATAAAGAGAGGTTTGAATTTTTTTTTTATGTATAATTATCTATTTATGTCAATTGAGAAATATATTATATCAATTTCGACTTAATTTTGGAGATGCAGATTACTGGGTACAGAGGAATAACACCTGAGTCCTCAGGAATGGCAACGCTAGGGGGGGGGAGTATCATGGGCGAAACAGTATACTCTGTTATGTCCATGGTACTGCTCATGTCTATAGGCGACGGTTACCACTTTCCATTAGGTGGGCGGTCAGCTTGTTTGCCATTCTAAGTTGCATAAAAAAAAGTTATGACAAGATAGATGTAAAACTTTTTAACTAAATCTAAAATTACATATACATAAAGGTGCCAAGAACTATCGATTAAATATAAGTAGTAAATAATTGAAAATTAAATATATAATGTACCTGTATAAAATGGCCAATGGATAAATTATTTAATGGATAATCTCGAAACATAATGGACATCTTGTAAACTTCACAAATGCAACACTTTTTCTACAATGTTTCTAGCAAATAAATTACATTTAATTTCACAATATTTTCTATTGTTTAAACAGTTCTAAGCTAAATTTGCTCGCTGAACTGGGCGGTAGGAGACGAAACCGATATCTGTGCACTTACCTATATGAATAAATCGTTTTAATAATCGAACTATATTTTACGAAATTGAAACGATATTATTTAAAACACTTGCCCATTGTTTTACAGTGTTCACTGTAAAAAAAACCATTTTTAATTATTTCACACGCGGCCGCTTTCGAATCGTCACTCGCAGGTAGACGTATTTAAGTGAATAAAAAGTTATTACAATCATAAATAGGTATTGTATCGAATCGTAACTACAAATCATAAAGCACAGAGTACTACGCTAAATATAAACACTACAAATTAATGGCAGACATATCTAGTTCAAATTATGTTTTAGAGAGACTCGTATCGTACCTGCGAGGTATCGAAGTCCTCTAGTACCACTTCTGTTCTTTTTGTCTACCCTGGGAAGGTGCAGGTATTAGTGGTGATAGATGAATACAATTATACTAGTGATATTGTTACGGTGGCGTCCTCTAGCGGCAGGTGGTCCCGAGTACTCTTTCAACGAAGCACGGAGTATCAGATAATCGCGCCTGTGGCTATTAACATAAGCCAGATAGAAATACATTACAATCCAGCTTTGTTAATGGCTCCAGGCGATATATATCTTGAACTAGAAAATATTATAAAAATCTATAATCCTAATTGTTACGGCATTTTTCTTTTAATTTGTGTTTATAAATAAATTAAAAGAAAAATCTTATAAAAGACTTATCGTGACGTGACAAATGTATTGTTATCTCAAATAAAAAAAAATAAATATAAAAAAAAACAAATAAAAAAATAACTAACCAAGTCATATCCCACATCGTAGTGGGACCCCTGCAGGTGGATGACAGGCACCGCACGGCGCCTGTTCAGCTTTCCCGTTACGTTAGCTGCAAAAATAAAAAATAAAATTGTTGAATGATAACTATCGTAAGTCATACTGTATTGTATGCATGAATGAATGAAAACTCTTTAAATATCGATTATATATATATATATATATATATATATATATATATATATATATATATATATATATATATCTTGTAGAAAACACGCGACACAACCGTCAACTGCGCTCTAGAACAGCTGCTTCTATCGAGTAAAAACACTATTCACGAATCTTCGAATTTTAAAACGAGAATAAAACCTATATTAATTACTATAAAAAACTAATTTTAATTATTTATTAATAACAATACATTAAATTAATAATTAAATTGGATAAGCTGCTCATACGACCGCGCAATAAACAACCCCGTTCCGAGACGGCAAGCAGCAAGCGAATGGCTATAATGCAACCACGAATCCGTTTTATTTTTGGAAACAATTACTAACATTAGCCCGCTCAGTTCTGACTTCAATTAACAGAACCGTGTACAATTAGGTACGAAACAAACCATAGGAAATGTCAAGTCATCTAAATACTTGCGGACGAGCAATGTTCACATTTTTCCATTGTCCAAGGCGGTTTATTGTTTAGCGTATTAATTGGAGTCGGAGATGTTTCATTTTATACCTATAACCTAATAAAGTATGCGTTATTTAATTCTTATGCTAATAAGTTTTAATGCAATAATATTGGATAGACTTTCAAACGGAGTTTCTCAATTTTTTAATTTATTCCAATTTAGTAATGCAATTTTATTTATTTTTATTTTGTGATGCTCGAAGTTGGCGCTTTTTTTGCAAAGTAAAACATTTTACGTAACATTTATAATGTAGGGTATCTGTAAAACATCTTTTATTGGTATGTTTACCAGAGGGAGACTTTGTACAAAAGTCGATTGCTTGGGTACTTCTGTCCCGTTCGTGTTTCAACCGTAAAGCAGTTGTGTTTGCATGGCTGCGTTTCGGTTTGAAGGGTGGGATATGGCGTGAATTTACTGGGTACAGAGGAATAACACCTGAGTCGTCAGGAATGGCAACGCATGGGGGTATCATGGGCGTAACAGTATACTCTGTTATGTCCATGGTACTGCTCATGTCTATAGGCGACGGTTACCACTTTCCATCAGGTGAGCCGTCAGCTTAAAGGAAGGAAAGGGATTATTAGTAATGGAGACTGAGAACCCCATTGCTAGCAATATACCCAACCAGGTCGACCTCCTCGCGGTTCCCCCTGGAAAATATTTAAACGATGTGCTAACTGGCCTGTTTTCATTCTTATCTATCACCTTTCACTGGTGCTCCGCCAGCGTATCCCGTTAGCGCGGGCGGGGTTACCATACCATTTTCACCCATCAAAAAAAAAAAATACACAACGAGTTAACATTAATGTATTACTATTGATTGTATGTAGATTGTACTGCAAAGATATCCCATTACAGTAAAACTACTTACTGCACACTAATTATTTTTTTTTTTAATTATAGCTACATACGCGTGCTATTGTTATTGTCGGCCAGTACGATGAAGGCAAATAAATAACTGGTTTTCAATGAAACAGAATTGACAGTGTCTTTATATGTATGTGATACTTGATACTACCTAGTTAAAAGTGTGTCAGATATTTTATTGTATTCGTTTGTATTATGTGATTGTACCGGTAGATTTTTTTTATACCACTGAGGTGGTAAACAAGCATACGGGCCGTATGCTAATTACCTGATGGTAAGCGGTTACCGTAGCCTGTTCATAGGCTGTGTTTCGGATTCTATCGCGCAAAGAGACTCCGGAGCATAGCCCACTCCATATATTAGGGGGGAGGAATTGTTGGTAATGCAGACTACCAGTCCCATTGCTAGCAATAAGCCTTGACAGGTCGACCTCCACGTGGCCCCCCCTTGAAACCAGTGCTGAATTCCAGGTGTATTCATCACGATGGGCTAACTGATCTGCCTTTTCATCTTCACCTATCATCCCTTACTGGTGCCCCGCCAGTGTATACCGTTAGCACAGGCGGGGTTACCATTTCATTATCATGCATTTAAAAAAAATGCCCTCTCCATAATACCAATATATACTACAGGCTAATTACTATTCCATTATCATCCATTAAAAAATGAGCTCCCTGCCTAGGTTTTCCCAAGAGACTACAGCATGGGGTTCTTTAAAAGAGGGGTAAAGAGGTTTCTTCAGGGTTGGCAACGCGCGCGTAATACCTCTGGTATTGCAGGCGTTCATAGGCTACGGTGACCGCTTACCATCAGGTGGGCCGTATACTTGTTTGCCACCTCAGTGGTATAAAAAGAAAAACAGGAGATTTTCCTTTACAAAAAATATAGTTAAAAAATGAATAAAAACTAAATAAACATTTCAATATTAAATCAAACTTCCACTAAGTGGGAACAATTACCAGTACTGTTATACTAAGTAATGCAAAGTTCAAGTAATTGTCAATGGATTTATTAAGATAAGCAAATATTCTTGTATAAATAATAATAATAATAAATCTGAAATGTTAATAAATGCGTGAAGCACGAACTTGGCCTTTGCAGGGACATTTACTCTGTGGCAGGGTGCTTACAACGCTAGGGTTGTCACACGCGCATAACATATAAATATTTAATAGTTTTTTTTAAAAGGGTGATAATGGTATGGTAACCTCGCCTGTGCTATCGGTATACACCGGCGGGGCACCAGTGAGGGATGACAGATGAGGATGAAAGCAGGTCAGTTAGCCCATCCTGACGAATTCAACTGGAATTAAACACGGTGGTTTCCAGGGGGAACCACGTGGAGGTCGACCTTGATAGGATATATTGCTGGTAATGGGACTATTTGACTCCATTACTAACAACTCTTAATCATCTCTAAAGCCTAATTGCGGTTGCCAATCCGCCTGCCAAGCGTAGCAACTACTAGCAAAACCCCTAAAGAAGGGGGAAAGGGATTGTTAGTAATGGAGACTAAGAATCCCATTGCTAGCAATATACCCAACCAGGTCGACCCCCTCGCGGTTCCCCCTGGAAACTTTCATGGTTAATTCCTGATGAATTCATCATGATGGGCTAACTGGCCTGTTTTCATTCTCATCTATCACCCTTCACTGGTGCTCTGCCAGCGTATCCCGTTAGCGCAGGCGGGGTTACCATACCATTTTCACCCATCTAAAAAAAAAACTCCAAGAGGGAGACATGTTCAGCAGTGAATAGTTAAAGGCCGATATGATGACGATCGTGAAACTGGCTTTAGGTGAAGTCATAAACCTGTCACAGACCTAAAGGAGTTTATATTTAATTGTTACATCATAATATTTAGCAATTATTTTGGCATTATTGCTAAAAAGGTATAAACGATAAAAGTATATGCTCAGCTGTAGAACGAGGGACGATTCTCGAAATAATTTTTATTTTTATACTTCACTAATATTATGAATGTGAAAGTAGGTGGAAATATTTACATGTTTGTCATTTAATAACGCTTTAACTGTTAAACAGATTTGAAACAAATTTGACTCGCAAGTAGATTTTATCGTGACTTAACATATAGGTTTTTATATATTGATTTACGCAGGCAAAACTGCGGGAAATAGATAGCTTAATATAACATGAAATTGCTGTTGAATTATATGCATACTAACCTTTTTTTTTCATACAACTTAGAATGGCAAACAAGCTGACGGCCCACCTGATGGAAAGTGGTAACCGTCGCCTATAGACATGTGTAGTACCATGGACATAACAGAGTACACTGTTTCGCCCATGATACTCCCCATACGTTGCCATTCCTGAGGACTCAGGTGTTATTCCTCTGTACCCTGTAAATTCACGCCATATCCCACCCTTCAAATCGAAACACAGCCATGCAAACACAACTGCTTCACGGTAGATACACGAATAGGACAGAGGTACCCAAGCAATCGACTTTTGTACAAAGTTTCCCTCTGGTAATCTAATGCCCTATCATCACGTGAGACGTTCCTTTACTAATTTCACATGTAAAAAGTAATAATTTGAGATAAATATCATTGTGATAAATTCTTGCCAAATATATCGAGGTAAATAATGCTTAGCATACTTCGCTTGCGCATACCCTAATTTACATATTAGAAAACTGTAGCTACTATTCTTAATCTATGATTCACGATATCTGTCGTAGAAAGAGAATATTATAGAAATGTTCATAGTGTAAGTTAAAATTAGTAGATTAAGTTTATTTTTTCCGTGTAACATCGTTAACTACAAAAGGTTCGGTTTGTCAATGAATCATAAATTAAAAATAGTACCAGAGTATGTTATAAAAATGCTAAGGGCGTATAATATACGAAATAGCAAAAAAAAAAATAACGTCATTGAGCACATAAATAAAAAATGTACCTGTAATCGATATTAATAGGAAATATCCAAAGCCGTAAAATTATTAAAAAAAAAAATTAATAGTAGTCGAGAAGCAAATAAATCATTTTAGCCAGTTCTCATTAACTATCTATTTACCTAGATAAAAAAAAGTTATAAATACAATTCGAATTTTAAACAGAAAGCCTGTTGATGTACGACGGGATGTCTTATAACACAGATGAATCATTATGTATTCATTATCTTCGTATTATAAACAGATTGAGAATATTTGAATTTAGAACGCGGAATCCGGTTTTGTTAGAAATAGTCACTTTCTCTTATAAATAAAACATAAATAAAATATAATTAAATTTTAGCAACTAATTAATATTTGGCTTTGAATAACAATACAGAATAATAAGAACAACATAATCGTGCCATGTTTTGTTTTAAATTTGTTGGATATTAGAAAAAAAATGACAGCAATTAGTCGATACATTATCGGAAGGCTCATCGCGAACATACTAGACACGCGATACAACTTCTGAAGTAACTCAAGAAAAAACCAACAATATTGGTTTTTGTACAATCGCTGGTGTATTGACCTCAATAACCTGAATGCATTTTCAATGCAACCCTCGGCCACAGTGCAGATATTGTTTAGACGA